GGGTAAACCCTCCCCTGCCTGTTTGGAGCTTTATTTTGGTCTGTTTACCTGTAGTAACCAGTAAGGCCTAAAATAAGAATTTTCATGGCTAGATGAGTAACCTGTGACCCCCACCTGTCTTTGCCTTGCTTTGCTGCTTAATGTAATAACAGTAACTTGGGACCCCAGAATAAAAACTGTTACAATGCTTAAGGAAAGATCTGCATTTGCCCAGGTTAGGGAGCCATAATTAAAACCATAATTAAAAAAAACTAAAACGAGAATCTCCCAGTGACCTTTGTGGTTTGATTCATTTGCAGGATAATGTTCCGAGGGCTGGCAACTTGAAGAGGAGCAGCTCAACCTATTTTGTTGATTTTGGTGATACTGTTTTAAGGAAGCATGCAAGTACAGAAGGGCCTGGGAGGGTTTTCAAACAAGACAGGGACGAGCGAGGAAGATTTGAGAGCGTGGAAAAACTAGGTGCTATGAGTACTGAAGTTGTTAAGGGCTGAGAGAATTTGGGGTTAAGCACGTGCATATGAAGGTCTGAAAGGGGCTAATGCATGAGGAATAGTAAAATACTATGACTGAACACAAGGTTCCTCCCCAGTCTGGACTCATGGGTGCGCCCTCACTCTCGCAGACACAGACACTTTGGAGGTGTAGGGATACGGGCAAGCAGGCCCACAAGTGGCCTCCACGTGCCTTTCGGTGTGGCCGCAGGTCCTCCGCACAGCGGTGTGCAGAGAGCTCTGCATGCTCAGCAGGTGAGTGGAACTGGAGCGTGTTGAGGGCTGTTCCGGGCTGTCTGGATCCATCCGGTTCCACTCGCTGTCCCTCTGTCCAGCTCTCCATCCTTTTCTTTCTTTCCTCGTAGCTCTGTCCAATACCCCGTCCCTTTGTTTAGCTACTCGTTCCCCTGCCCAGTTCCCCATCCCTCTTGTACTCTTTCCATCCCTCTGTCAATATCTTTCTCCCTCCAACTGGCTCCCTATCACTCTATCCAGCTCTCCATCATCCTTTTCCCCTCTGTCCCGCTACCTGCCCGCTGTCCTTCTCTCCAGCTCCCCATCCCGCTGCCACGCTCTGCTGCTCTTGTCTGTCTCTTTGT